CACTCGTCTGAAGAGCAGGAGGATACAGATTCGTTGGACGTGCCTGGTCGGCTCACCTTGGTGACACAAGCCCAGTGGTTTATCACCTCGCTGGCGATGGTTCGAGCGACCTTAAATGTGTGCACGGCTGTACGCGATGTCATGCTGGCCTCTGATGGGAATGAGGCTCAAAGGAGGGCAGGATTTTTCTCTGTTTTAAAGATGGGACATTGTTCACTCGGCAGGGTTAAAGAGCTCAGTTCAGCTTTCCTTAAAACAAGCCATCGGTTGTGAATTCCAGTTAGACACGACCTTGTATAAACAGAGAAGCCTGCAACGTCAAAACACACCTACCATCCTTTGGACTCCATACATTATTTTCTACGTGTAAACATTATACACAGTAGAAATGTTTAACGCCTGTGCACGGTCTATGTGCGCGTGTATTTGTCGATGGACAGAATGCGCGTAATTTTTGATGGACGAGGTAGAAATATATGGCAGTTGTGTAAGGAGTGTAATGATGTGGCTAATTGCTGGAGAGCATTGTTTCGGATCCTTCCCGTGGGAATACATTAGCAAACGAACAGTGCATGAATTGGTCACACCTAAAAATGGTTGACCTACTTAACATAACAATGTCTTCAACTGCTGCACTCACAACGAAACGTTAATCTATTGACTTGCAGTGGGCTGCAGAGGATGCAACCTGGTCAATTTTTTTGTCGTTGCTTAATTTAGATCAATGCACGTACACACGTTGATTTTGTTTTGATTTTATTTACATCACGTGCTAATTTTTTGTTTGCTTTAAACGAAACGATTTGAGTGTGGTTTTTTGTTGTTGCTGCTGCAGATTTATAGGTTTTGGTTTGCTATCCAGTTATCTGGTCGTTATGAAAATCGTTTATGCCAACTATCGCTAAATGTCATCCAAGGGGGTATTGTACGTCCAAATGTCAGTGTTCTCAAGGCACCACCACAGTGTGTCCAAGTCTTCCTTCAAATGTCAGTCAAAACATTTAGGCTGCCCCCAATCTCTCTCTGCACCGAATAGGCGGCCATTTCCCAAAACATCAGCCAACTCTGGTACCGCAGGTTATTTAATGGTGGGTATCAAACGATGTTAATTGTGAGGTGGGGGCGGGGTTAGTCTTTGTACATTATTCGTACGGCATATAGAGCACACCGCATGCATACACATAATGTGTCACTGCCCAAGACCATATGCCCGGAATGCACCTGATCTCTCTGAAGCTAAGCAAAGTTGAGCCTGGATATTTATTGGATGGATGACCGCAACGAACAGGTGTTGGAGGTCGCTGCAGGGCTGCATTGTCTACAGTGACGATTTTTTCTTGTACTGTACTATTCTCTAATGTCTATGTGCCCTTCCTCCACCAACCCTTACTGATCGGTGTGACGAAGTACGGTCAAATAACCCCCCATGCCCCGCACGGTGTGGGGGAGGCACTCATCCAACAGTGGATTGACAAAAGGGCTGCACTTGTAACGTAGAGTGTAATACGTACACCATGAATATGTTACATTATCCATAGGCGGCGTGAATTGCCTTACCCTGTAAGACCGTGCAGCTCGTGAAGTGAACATCCTTCCACGTCTGAAAAATTAAGGGCACGCGTGTGGAAACAAAGGAGACAGGAAGGGTACGCTACACTGGTGCCGTGCCAACATAATGATGAGCGTTCATGGGGCCCCTTTGGCCACTTGACGTGGTCCCACATGGATATTTGCCCTCCACCCCAGACCACGTGCCCCCCCTCCCCCCCCAAGCCCCCCACCCCAGGGAAACTCCCAAGTTCATTCCTTTGTCCCTGAATTTAATTTGCGTCGTAACAGAAATGTTTAATCACATGACCGAGGCCAATGCCAGCAATAACAACGTTGGTAAAGTTACGTGCGCACGTGGAGATCACGAGGTCGTCATGGCGAGCGCTATTCCAATGTCGCCACCACATCTCGGCATCGCTTCCCTCTGCCACATACCACAACTGTTGAATAGCCTACACCCGACCTCCGCGGTCTGAGCACCATGTGTCTCGACGTCTATCTCAGTTAACCTGCCTCTCATCCAAGCCTACACACGTGTCCCTTCCATCACAGATGCCTCCTCCTCGTTGCCTCTACAATGCCACCCTGCCACGCTCTATTCCAAACTTCATAGTTGATTATTGTTGATGTATTGCATCAATAATAGTCCGTGTGGACGTGGGTTTAATAAATTAAGATAATCAGTGCCAAAATAAACTCGAATATTACACAGGAACCCGACGTTGATAGACACATGATTGATACATGATCTGGCACCACAATCAGCTGCCTGTGAAGCAGACTCTACAGGTCGACAACTGAAATTCAATCAAATTCAGAAGACGTGGAAGAACATGAACGTGTATAGTTGTTCACATAAATTGAGAATCGATTATAAGAAACCCAATGAAGATGAACACGAGATCAAAATTAGAATCTCAAAAAGTCAGTTTGTATAATCTCAAGTAAAAAGTCATCGCTTTAATGAGACTTGAGTACAATGTAGGTCAAGGGTGGCATTTTGAAAGAAATGACACCGGGAAACATTCGATGTCAAAGGCCCCAACAGGCTGAGATCTGTTTCAATTGATTTTAACTCAACTACACATTAAGATGATTTGCGTATTGCTTTAATGAAGCTGCAGAATATTGTTTTAAGCAACGTGCACCTTTGTCGTGAACACGGCATTCGTGAATGTGTCGGGGATGCTGTGAAGCCGTGGATGCCGTTTGCCCACACACACACACCATCAGGAGGGGCTGTTTGGTGGCTGTTCCATCAGTCGGCTGCACCTCAAGTGGATGAGACTCGCTGCATATTGAAACCACTTCAAGGTGGCCATTTTAAATAAACGTTTTTAGGAACCGTAGATAAGGGAGACTAATGGTTGTATTTATTTTCAGTTTGTGCTGAAAATCGTAAACCGTACCTTGCGTTTTATATCCTAAAGCGACACACATATCAAATGTGCCATTCTTCATTACACATGTCTCTTTATGAAATTATGAGGTAAGAATACACATTTCTAAAAAACCCCATGTCGTATTAAAACCCACTGAGGGTACTGCACGCAAGGTGGATGAACGCCCACATCCACTTATTACTGTGACGTTTTCCCGAAGAGCCACGTATCCCCATTGTGTACTGCACTCATGATTAGCAATACCGCTCCTGTTGGTTACACCACGCACCGTGTATCCTGTATCACACAAACATATACAGAGGAAACACATACATTGCGTAGGCGCACATCCAACCTACACTACATATTTTAGACAGTCTAATGCAGGCAATGTTCATTCATTCAGACCTAGTTCCCACACCTTTCCACGGTGTACAATCAATGGTGTCACATTCAACAACGAATTCCATCTGAACAATAATGTATCAATGGCACGCGTTATATTATTTCCCATGACAACAATAATAACGACGACGGCGACGAGTATAACAACATCTGGTGAGACAAGAGGACGTGAAGGGAGTGCCAACTCTGCCGGTGGGTGTCGTGGCTGCAATGATTCCGAGTGGCTGGCATCCCCAGCAATGTCCATCACCCCAGGACATCGCCACACGGCACACCGCCTCCACTCAAGTGGACTTCACGAACCCAAATCGTGCCGTGAGATGTCACGGCGCGCCCGTCATTTGCACAAGCATCTGTCGAATTCGCAAAATCTCGATCATGAAACGTTTCCATTCGGTAAACGAATTGGCCGAGCGACCAACATGATGAGTGAGCTTTCGCCAAGACGAGTCTAAAAATATAACCACGCGAATGATGACTGTGATTTTCTTTGCTGTTGTTGGTGGTGGTGGGCATCATGCGGGTGAACTATTTTAATAGAGTGATCAACTTAAAATCACGAGCCACCGACGAACTCGACGCAATTGCGGGCATCGCCTTCTCGCCGCGTATCGCGAGTAACAATCTCCTTTGTGTGTGGGTAGTTGAACGTTCCACAATTAAAATGCGTATGAAATGAAGACGGTGGCTGCTTTGTGGGGTCTCGCCTTATCAGTATTCATGCGACGTGTACGCCAGCAAGCAGCGGTACAGTGATGCGAAATGGATTTACGTCGATATATGGCAATTTATTATATATATAAAAAAATTCCAACGTGAACGTTTACACATAGCACGCACGTAACGTTGACTATGTGATCTGCTTAATGATATTGCTGCGTTTTCTCGCCGTGTTATGAGCTGCTGGCATTTCTCTACACCGTGGTAGAATTGAATGGTTTGGCACCTTTTGGCGAATTATGTACCAATACAAGATCCGCGATACGTAGCCAGCATATACAAGATCACAACAAGGCTCCGTAATGATTTTTTAAATATATCTAACAATCCATGATTGTTTTTTTTACTGACTCTACAAAAGACTCGTTCGTGGTCATTTCCTATCGACGTTAATTGTGATCACCACGTTACATTTTTTTTACCCACACAACCAGATGGCACAGATGCTAAATAATACGATCTTGTAACACACACACATTAACATATCAAAGCAGTCACGACGTATTATCAGCGTTTTATTCTAATAAATGCTCATTTACGAGCTGCGATTTGCAGTTCAGATAAGGTTTTTTTGTTTCAATTCTCATCCCTGGCGCTCGCCACGCTTAACGCACGAGGAGCGGCGACTGAACGTCTCGTTTCGCACCATTTCACATTTGAAATCGCGCAGAAGCTTTCTTTACCTTTCAGAAGAATGATATTGGAGAGAAGAATAGCATCACAATGAATCAGGTGCTGGAGCTGTCCTCCTTGATCAGAGACCTACATCCAATCCTCTCTCCTCCTCCAGCTGCGAGCTCCGAACCGCGTACATCTTAACATTCTCACCACCCCCCCCCCCCCCTCGTGTCCCCCCCCCCTCCACACGACACGCACGCTAATCAATTCAGCAATTACTGCACCAGGGTCGCCTATGTGGGCTCGCCACGCTCTCCTTCGCACCGGTAACGAATCCTCCTCGTTGTACCGCTGCACTATTCCCGTCCACCTTAAACATGGTCGTGGAGACGCGCGCGTTCCTCCTTCGCAGATGACATCACGGAGCCGACGAGACGGTATCGGGGGGGGGGGGGGGGGGGGCTCCTTGGCTCTGCGTGAGTGCGGTGTGAGCCAAGCGGGCACCACCAGCGGCACCAGCAGCGCTCCAGTCGGCTTCGGCTCGGGGAAGCTCCAAGACGATGTGGGTCTCTCCCCCCTTCCTCCCTCCCTCCTTCTCCCTGGGGGGGGGGGGGGGGGGGTGGCGGTGGGGGAGCTAAAACGGAGTAATCTTCGAGCGCTGCGAGTCAGAGAGCCCAGCCCGCGTGGCGTGCCCTGAGTGTGCCGAGTGAGGAGTGAGAGCGGCGACAGAGGCTCGGGAGCCCTTCGCGTTCTCGTTCAGCCCAGCTGCGTGTCCCACTTTGCAGCATAGTTAATGAGCCTCCTCCTCTTCCTCCTCCTCCTCTCTCCATCCATCCATCCCTCCGCCTCTCCCACCACAAACCTCGTCTCGCCTTTCGTCCCTCCTTTCCGTCAACTCTGCCGTGTCGAGAAGTCCTGTTTTTGTTTTACGAGCGATGATGTTGCGCGCGTGCCTGTTAATCTGTTGTTTAAAGCGTGCCAAATTAGCAGGGCGCAGTCCCGGTGTATTAATTAGCGAGCTGGCTTGAATGCAACACCTATGGGGAACTTGGTGCAATTGAGAACAAAATATGTACTCTTGAAACGCGAATCAATATCTATATCGCAGTGCAAATTCGTGAAATCCCCGCCCGATTTCTTTTTTTTTGCCAGGTCGTTTTTTACGTGCTCCTCCCCCTACCCGCCCCTCTCTCTCTCTCTCTTTCGGAATATTCCTCGCCACTGTGAATATTCCACGCGGAACGGACTCCTCGTTGCAAGAGGCGAGCGCATCACGCAACACGCAGCCCGCAACGTTCACGACGCACACACAAACCCCTGTCGCTGCCCTGCAACGCATTCGGCGGCGGCAGCCACGGAGCGACGCTCGTCGCGCGCAGCTTTCAAGGGAGCGCACGTGGGTGAAGTTCAACGGAGACAAACGTGCGCCTCATGACAATCGCACAGTGTCGCACCGTGGCCTCTGCCCATTGGCTTTCGCCTTTGAATTCCCACCGACCAGCATGGTAAAGTATGGTCAAACAACGCCTCCATGGCCGACGCGGCTTAATGAGACCTTGATCCCATGATTGAGAAATAATAAAATACCAAAAAGTTTAATAGGTAGGCTTTCGCGACCAATATCATCCATAATGCAGGGTTTTTTGGGGGGGGTTAAATCGCGTAAATATAAATGTGTCGTTAAACCCGCCACCACCCGACACAGCCAATTACACAAACACAGGATTTGCACTGCAACACCCTGGTGTGCTGTACTAGTAATGAGTTTGCATGTTCTGTTTACGTGACAAACGTTACTAATTGGCTGTGTCGGGTGGTGGTGGGTTCAACGACACATTTATATTTATGCGATCTACCCCAAAAAAAACATGTATTACAGGACAAAACTGAACGTCGCGGTTGATATTGCCTTTACGTGGAATTTTTTTTTACACTTTGAAATAATCATAATAGTAATGCATTCTATCTTGGGAAGCTTCAATAAGTCTCAAGACCCTTTTTGTCGAGAGGGCCATGCTAGATTTCGATATTCCAATTATGAGTCATTGGCTCAATGTGGGAGGAAACGGGCGAAAACCACCGCGCATAGCATCGACGGGGGCGACAATCGTTCCGCATAGACATTCATCGATCCATTGCTGTGCTTCCATCTCCTGGCCACCTGGAAGCCAGTATCCGACTCACGAACGAACCAGTCTCAACCCTGACATTGTCGGGTCTACATCTGTTATTGGGAGAGGGGGGGAAATCTATAAATGTATACCCTCACAAGTACAATCACCAGAATAATAATAAAGCAGATCCAGGGGAGATCCCCCCATCTCCCCCCCATCAAATTTCAGCCTGGCCGACGCTAACAGTGCAGGCCAGATCCCATCGTTGCCCAATAAGCCTCTACGTATGCACGATGAACTTTCTTTCGCACGGTATGTCGCCAAACCGTGATACAATCTCTGCAAATCTCTTCTCTGAGAAGAGTCTCGGCCGAACATCGCATTTCTGCCGCTCGCTACAAAGCGCCTGATAAAGCTGCGTCACCACAAGATGCCGACCTTACGAATAAAAAAAATCACTTCCTTAGAGAAGCCATTAAATAATGGGGGCTTGCGCTGATGCTCATCCCAATTCCCTCCGGCAATCATCGGCAACCGCGTGGGTTCTGCAAGCCATAGGCGCAGCGACGGGTCCAGCTACTGGCGGCACGACTGGCTACCCAAAACCAATCCACCGCTGTCATCGTCAGCAGCAGCAGCCATGATCCATCCACCGCTGGATGAAGATCTCCACAAGCCGTCGTCATCTCTCGCCGTCTTGCGGTGTCAATGATCCGCCCGGCACACGCACTCGAGCTCTTTAACATCGCTCCATCTCCCCTCGGCGGGGGCCGGGGCTGTGTCGTCGAGCGCCTTCCGTGGCTCTGTGGATAACCGAGCACCTGTTGTGGGTTCCGCGCCGTCTGAGTAGGTTTTATTTTGTTTAAACACAAAATCTAAGACAACTTTGGGAAATCACTCGTTTTCATGCGTTACCTTTAATCAAGGCATTGAGTTTCTAGTTTGTTTGCCACAATAATATTAATGAAAGAATACCGACAATTTACTTAGAGCCCTTTTGTCATTGCACTGCTGGATGGAATGGGACCTCCCGATGTTCTATCATTCGTGGGGGGGGGGGGGGGGGGGTGTTAGACCATACTTCACCACGCTGGTCAATGTGGGTTGTTGAATGTCGACCTGGCTATGACTGATTCAGAGATCACTCGCCACCGATGTTATCCGTGGCGCGTTAACTGAACACATTTTTTTGGCCAAGTTCATAGCCACGGCGTGCTAACCACACTGCGTTAGGTGATAACAAATCAGTGGCCATTCTAAGCGAAGATAAGGTGGGGGAGCGGGGGGGGGGGGCAGTGCCCCCCGTGTGCCCCCCACCCAATTCCTGCCGTTTACTGCCCCCCCCCCCCCATTGGCCATCCATTCCCTGCAGCCATGTGTCCAGACCAGGCGTGGTCGGCCACCAAAATTATAAGAAGAGACTTTTTTTTATTCGGTAAAATCTTATTTTTTTAAATCTCAATATTTCATGAGCCGCAATGCACTGCGCGGTGAATACGAGAGCCGCGTGCCGCTCCGGGGACGCGGGTTGCTGACCCATAACTTTAGAGAGTAAAATAACCGAATGAAGTAAAATCAGTTAAAGAAAAGTTTGCCCACAAGAGGGCAGCCAAGGAGCCGCAAGGAGGCAGCCAAAGAGCCGCAAGGGGGCAGCCAAAGAGCCGCAAGGGGTCAGCCAAAGAGCCTCAAGGGGACAGCCAAAGAGCCTCAAGGGGGCAGCCAAAGAGCCGCAAGGAGGCAGCCAAAGAGCCTCAAGGGGGCAGCCAAAGAGCCGCAAGGGGTCAGCCAAAGAGCCTCAAGGAGACAGCCAAAGAGCCTCAAGGAGACAGCCAAAGAGCCTCAAGGGGTCAGCCAAAGAGCCGCAAGGGGGCAGCCAAAGAGCCGCAAGGGGTCAGCCAAAGAGCCTCAAGGAGACAGCCAAAGAGCCTCAAGGAGACAGCCAAAGAGCCTCAAGGGGTCAGCCAAAGAGCCGCAAGGGGACAGCCAAAGAGCCGCAAGGGGACAGCCAAAGAGCCACAAGGGGGCAGCCAAAGAGCCGCAAGGGGGCAGCCAAAGAGCCGCAAGGGGACAGCCAAAGAGCCGCAAGGGGTCAGCCAAAGAGCCGCAAGGGGGCAGCCAAAGAGCCACAAGGGGGTTAGCTAAAGAGCCGCAAGGGGTTAGCTAAAGAGCCTCAAGGGGGCAGCCAAAGAGCCGCAAGGGGACAGCCAAAGAGCCGCAAGGGGACAGCCAAAGAGCCGCAAGGGGTCAGCCAAAGAGCCGCAAGGGGGCAGCCAAAGAGCCGCAAGGGGGTCAGCCAAAGAGCCTCAAGGGGGCAGCCAAAGAGCCGCAAAGGGGCCGCAGGTTGCCAACCCCTGGTCCAGACCAAGCAAGTCCCTTTGTATTCCTTCACGGTCACGGCAAGGTGTCGTCCCTCGTGCGTGTGTTCGCGTCTTTCTCTGATCCACGTGCTCCTCCGCTCTCTGTCAACCTGCGTCTCTCCAGACTCGTCTCTGTGAAACTGTCGCGTCTGCCTCACGGCGGTGGTGCTGGTGGTGGTGCTGGTAGTGATGGTAAGCGACTCGGGGTTAAATTGCAAAGTCGTAATTTTCGTGCTGTTAAGTTGCAAATAGTGTTAGTATTTAAACGTTAAATTAACGTCTTCGAGTTTTGTAATTGCACATAAATGTAATTTTAAAAACATGTTTGTTTTTATCATTTAATACAGTTATTTTATTATTTGCCAGTTTTCCCTAATGGGTGTCGGTCTAAATTGACTTTAAATCGGTCATCGTAATCTGCACACCACCCGTGGGGCATAAGTGGCCCAGCACAAACGTGAACGAATTCACGGTGCACCATCGCCGTGAGCGGAATATCGGTGCTTATCGGGCGAATACAAAGCACTTAATAAATCTCATCCAACAAGGGCCATCAGAGGCAGATGTACCAGCTGCCTTGATCCAACTCACGGTGGACAAACGAGGACCCATGCCATCAGAAGGTTGTGGGGGTAACGAGTTGATATCAACGTGAGTTTTCCCACGTTACATATTGGCTACGTGTGTGCGTATCTTGAACCTCTTTCGCACCGTACGTAGCCAACCGTACTCATTGGAGGTGCTATGTATGCATAGCCAGTCTTCTTGTTACACTCACGTGCCGTGTGGTTCCCGTGGCAATTACTGTGCAACTGCAAAGCACAAACCCCGAGGACTTTCCCTGAACTTATTTCTGTTAAAACTAATAGCTCATGAATAACAATTATTTTGCCTCGACTTCAAATTTTGATCGAATACTTATTTGTCCGCAATTGTCACAACTAAGTTACCCGAGCTAGATACGGCGAACTCTAGCTGACACGTAATAATGAAATGTAAATAAATAAAGGGTGTTTAATTTTTAATATAAAAACTAAACAATTGAAGAGCATCAACCAATGGGACTTTTTATTTTTAAATCTTGACTTAAAGCTTTTGTGACTGCAGGAATTCATACTCTTTGGTTCTTTCGGTAAAGTCACGTAGATAGAAAACAATTTTTTCACGATTTTTCGATCGCAATATAAGCGATTGTCTTCAGGTGAAAAAATACAGTCGGCGGATTGCTGAGGCGGGAAGAAATAAAGCGTACATCCTTCCTGTCTCAGCAGTCCGCCGACTGTAT